CACAGCACTCTACCCAGGGGGACAGCTTGAGGCTCTGTCTCAAAAAAAACCAAATAATAATAATTTTAACATTGACAGACTGTTATATAATATATAGTCCATATTAAAATTCCCCAAACTGTCCTAGGAATTATCTTTTACAATTTTTTGTTTATCTGGGATTCAGAATCTAAGGATCACACGTTGTACATTTAGTTGTCACACTATTTTAGTTTCCTTCAATCCAGAATCGTTTCTTAGCCCCCCGTTTTTGAAGACAATGACAGTCCAGGCTAGCTGTGTTTTACAGAATATCCCTCAATCCGGATTTGTCTGGTTATTTCCTCATGATTATGTTCAAGATAACATAGCAGGTATAACATTATATAAAACATTATAGTCAGCTATTGCTATCAAATATAACTTATGTTTGAGATGAGACACATACTTCAAAATATGTGTCTTTTAAACATTTACAACTTCTTGGTGATATCAGAAAGTAAGGAGTTAGTACCAAAAATGGTAAAAATAACTTAACATAATTTGGATTTGGTTTGGACTCCATTTATTTGCTTCTTCCAGCCTATATGCTAGGGATATTTAGAGGAAGCAGCTAGGAAACAGTCTAAAGAGCATTACTTTGTACTCAGCAATTTCAGGTTTATGTCCTAACCCTGCTGCCAGCCAACTGTGATCCTGGGCTTCCAATTTCTTCATGTGTCAGAAATTAAATCACTTACCTATATGTCTTAAAAAATAATAACAGTAAGGTTCATGAAAGTAATGTGTTAAAAATCATCAGACATCTTAAAAATATGAAATGGTATTATTAACATGTTATATATCATGGATAAGGGGTTAGAAAAGTCACCTGAGTTACCTGGCAATAGGGTCCTATTCTGAGAAGAAATAATCATAGTAGTTATAGATTACAATAAAACATAGCAATTCACTTTATGTAACCTCACTTTTAAAGGGAAGATCAAATACAAAAGCCCAAATTAATATTTTATAACAAATCCCAATACTAACAGTCAAGTAGCCTTTGATATTTTGTGGTGGCAATTAATATAATTACAATTATGTTTTGTTATCCACACTACCAGCCACCCTTTGTACCACTTAATGGTTTTTATTGATCTAATATGTAACAAATTCTACACTACCAACGGAGATTAGTAGCTTATAAAACTTTTTTTTAATCACACATAAAATCATGGCAAAATCTCACTAATTCAGGAAATTCTATACTTATGTCTGGCACAGGATGTTCTCAGTAAATCTATGTGGAATGAAAAGTAAAATTAATTCAGAATCCATAACAACACTGCAGTAGGTACCTGAGGAAGTATTTAAGATACTTGAGGAAACACAGGATTTGAGGAGCACTACCTAAACGTAATTCATATGTCGATTAAAATTCCGAACTCCTGGCTTCAAGGGATTATCCTGCCTCAGCCTCCAGAGTAGCTGAGACTACAAGCACATATCACCAGGCCTGGCTAACTTGGAGGGGCGGGCTAGAGTCAGGTTCTTGATTCTTCACCAGGCTGGTCTCAAACTTTTGACCTAAAGTGACTCTCCTGGTTCAATCTCTAAAGTGCTATGATTACTGGTATGAGCCACAGTGAATGGCTAGTCCATGTACTTTCAAATTTTTTTTATCTCAAGACTCCTTTACATCTTAAAATTCTTGAAGACCTCAAAGAGCTTTTGATTATATGGTTGATAAGTACTGGTACCCACAGTGATCACATTAGAAATCAAAACTGAAAAATTTTAATAATTAGTAATTTACTTAAATAATGAGTCCCACGATATGTTAGCACAAATAACATTTTAATGGGGGGGGAACCCTATAGATTTCAAAACAAAAAATTAATGAGAGGAACTATTTTACATTTTTACAAATCTCTTTAATGTTTGATTTTATAATATAGCTGGATTTTCATAACCAGCATGCTTCTTTGTATGTAATCTGTTGCAATATCATAGATCATGTGGCTGCTGAAAAACATACTTAAGACAGAATGAGAATGAGAACTGTGAACAAGCAAAAAAAAAACAGAAGCTGACTCTTCTGAATCACATCCTCAGCCCAGGCCCTGCTTACAGGTTTTCCACAAAGGCTATGGGCAATTTGGGGGAAAGGCTATGGGCAATTTGAGGGTGTCTTGCCAAACAGCTGCCTCTACTCTCACCCTAAGCATTGCTATGTTATCTATGCTTAAAATGCTATAAAGTAAAAATAAAAGTCAGGTATTTTTCACTACGCATACCATCTTTCTTCTCTTTTCCAACTGTATAACATCAGAAAAGGCTAATACTAAATTAAGACAAGTGATGAGAAAAACATGGCTAACCATTCTACATCAGAAAACAACTGAGTTCAGCTTTAATAATCAGATTAAATCATACTTACAGCCATCCTGTTTGCAAATCCACTGTACGCAATTGACTCGGGCAGTGTGACCATTCAGGTTGGTAACAACGACCCTTTTCTTTAGAGAAGAAAATATCAGTAAATTAAAAATGATCCCATAGAGGAATTAATAAGTCAGTAAAAATCAGACTTCAGTGTTTTGACATTAAAAAAAGATCAAGATTACAGCCTTGAACAGATTTGCCTTCTTTAATTCTATCAACTCAGAAACTTTTAACCATGGCTTAAGCCATCAATTCACTCTAAATCAGTCCCACCTTTTTTGACTCTCATACTCTCAGTAGCCTGTCCTCTCATCACACCGAGCCCTCTGGTCTTTATCTGCCTAGTTCCGCTCACCCTCCCCCCAGTGTGCAAGTCCTTCTCACCTGGGCAGTTGTCTTGACACACTAGGCTAGAAGAACCTCTTTCCTCTGCTCCCACAGGTCTTGGGGCCTACTTCTACTATGCTGGGACCAATCTAAAGATTTCACTGATGAAAACCCTATTTGATAGAATTCATAATTAGTGGATACAAATTCATGGCTCACCACATATGCCATGGCTCATCAGGTGATGAGGCCTTCAGCCCCACTTGTACAGTATTACAAGGCTGCAACTACTAAGATCTTCACCCATAAGATCCCTGAAGGACCTATCACTGGGTTCCCTGTAGATCCTCAGCTACTGCTTTCACTAACATCACTCCACACTTAAGCTTCCATACTTTACTCACTGCTCAAGATTTTAATTCTGTGACTACTGTGCCTTCCTCTTTTCAGCCCTTTTCTCTACTTGTTGCCAACAGCACTGGCGTCATTAACTGATGGTGAGGGAAAAAAACACAGCAAATGTGCATAAACAAATATATTTCACACATGGATTGAAAGTGGGAAACATCTTACCGTATTCCATTGTCTAATTAGACTGAGAACAGGAGTTATCACTCATTATCTTTGCATCATCATCACCCAGCCTTAGGCTAGCCCACAGAGGATCCTCAAAGTTTTGCTGAATAGCCAGCTATGGTGGCACAGGTCTATAACCCTAGCACCCTGAGAGGCCAAGGAGGGTGGTTTGCTTGAGCTCAGGAGCTCCAGAGCAACCTGAGCAAGATGGAGACCCTGTCTCTACTGAAAATAGAAAAAACTAGCGGTCGTGGTATTGGCTTATTGGAGGACATCTGTAGTCCTAGCTATGTGAGAGGCTGAGACAGAAGAATTGCTTGAACCCAGGAGTTTGAGGTTGCTATGCACTATGACACAACAAAAAATTGCTGAATGAGCATCATTCCCAAAACTTTACTCTAGCATTTCACATGCTCTTACTCATATATATATAAGTAAATGTGTATATATATATATATATATATACATACATATATACATTTTTTTTTTTTTTGGCCAGGGCTGGGTTTGAACCCACCACCTCTGGCATATGGGGCTGACGCCCCACCCTTGTGAGCCACAGGCACCCTCTTACTTCTATATTTAATTAAATGCCCAACCAGCAAATATTTAACAAAGTACTTTCTAGGCTCAATGCTTGTTTGTTGATAGGTTATCATTAAGCATATGATGGAAAGTAGGGGCCATTAAACTGCCACAAAAGATGGTCTTTTACAGCTCAGTCCCTGCCTACTGGTCACTGTAAAGGTTACCCCTGGTTTTACTGCTTTCTCCTGCCATTTAAGAATGTACGGCAATTATAAAGAAACAAAAACAGAGAAGAGGCAAGCAAGTTCAAGATAGGAAAAAGTGAATAAAA